ATACGTGGTAGAGTCCCGATGTAACTATATTCTGGTTGTCGCACGAACGGGTCGGCTCGACGGAGAAAGATCACGCTTTCACAAAATACCTGTCCTTTTTACTGGAAACAAGGCATTCCATCTAGTACTCAGGGGTGACAACGCATTAGCGCTTTGATTATTAATCGAGGATAAACTTGGACTGTGTACTCGTTTGTAACTCTTATTCTATAAAAAATATCGTCTATAATTCAAATAACGATCGAGGTTCTGACGCTAAACAAAATTAAGAGACTTCCATTTGAAAATAATGAAAATATGATCGTAATACAATTTTGTATTTATAATACTTTATATATATATATATATATATATATATATATATATATATATATATATATATATATATATATATAAAGTATATTATATTTCGGGATATATGAAGAATTTCAATCGTGAATAGAATACAATTTATTTTTTATATCTCGAATCGTCAACAAAAAATAAAAACAAAATGATTTTCGTACCGTATTAAAAATAAAAAAGAGGCCGAAGCCGCCCGTGTAATATTCACTTTTTCATATTATATTTATTTATTTTGAATATTATATTTATTTATATGATTATAGTGGCAAATGAGCACACAGTCTATCTGATGCTAAATGTATGCTGTGGCTCATAGACAGCTACTTTTATTCTCGATTAAGAATGCAGGTGCGTTGTCAGTCGTCACGCCTGCGGACGGAAATGGAATGCCCCGTTATCAGTAACATAGTTCGCCGGCTCTCTAACTTACGATACGAGCCTCATGCTTCAGTATTCACGATATGAAACACAGCAGCATAAAGGAACTATTTTACTCTATAGTATGTTCGAGAGCGAGCGTGTTTCTTCCCCGGTCGACCCATTCCTACTACAACCATAACATGGACGCTGCATGACTCCACCACGTACAAAATATTGAATAAATAATTATCATCATGTTTTAGTTTATTTTATTATTTACACGTTGGCACACTTGAATTGCGTTATTTGTTATAATATAAAGCTCAATTTTCTCTCGAAGTTTTTGATGAGCAAAATCTAACAAGGAATGGAACGAAAAACATTATGTAATAAATATGTTTACTTATCTGAATCATAAAGTTACAGCCTATATACATCCCACTGCTGGACACAGGCCTCCCCTCATTTCTGATAGGATTTTAGGACAAGGAAGTGTCCGCCGCGCTGCCACAAAGCGTGTTGGCGAACTTCACATGTTTTCCTTCACCGCCGAGCACGTGGTAAATCAGCACTTAAAATTGCAATTAACAATGTCATTGGTGCCTGCGGGGATCGAACCCGGGTTGCTCGCGTTCTGTTATATTTACAGCGAGCGTTAACCATCTGAGCTACCACGGCTCTTCATCATCTCTGAATCATAAATCTGATTAATTCTGCGTTACATATAAAAGAAGACAATGAAATTATGATTTAACAAATCACTAAGAGGCGCGCTTATGAATAATCTCCCTTCAGCTTTTCGTTTTATACAAATGTTTCTTGTAATCGAGAGACGTCTGAGCGGCTTATGATATTAAGTCCGATTTACGTTTAAAAATATTAAATTCGGAGACGAGTTAAGAACATAAAGGCTGCTATAATTCGAAAAAAAAAGTACTTTAGCATGTTTATGCTACTTTCACAATGCGGTTGTTGAATGTCATTACATTGGTGAAAATTCTGAAATCTTCCAAATATATTACAATTTAAATTTTTAACAATGTGACATGGTATCTAGGAATTGTTTGTTTTAAAGATAAATTTTTTTGCGATAAATCGATTCGTGTCCGAAAATTAAATGTAAAAATAAATACACTGCCATGTGAAAACAAAACAGAAGCGTAGAATAGTGGTCTCTATTTTTGACATTTTAATTCTAATCAAATAAAAGTTTAAAGTTACAATCATGGTTGGCGGCGTCCGAGGAGTGTTTGTATTCAACATCCCATCTCGGTGTATGCATGTTATAAGAATCGACTAAAAATCCAGAAAAATATCATAAACTCAAACAACAACGCCAGTACCTATAATTACAGGCTGTGTGTAAGGCCATCCATTTTAGTTTTCAGAGGTGACAACACACATGTAAACTTCTTTGTTTTAAGGAAGTATCAACGGACATTTACCATTAGATGGACTGTAAGTGTAGTTGAAAGAAGAAGAAAGTCGTTTGTAGAAAAAAATGTTACTACGATATATATATATATATATATATATATATATATATATATATATATATATATATATATATATAAATTACGACACATCTTCTCGTCAGGAAAAAACCAAATAAACCCCAAATTAAAACTTAACCCCCCCCCAATTTGTTTTTTTTACAAACCAATAAAAAAAAGAAATCAAATTAATGTTCAATTTAAAAAAAAAAAAAATTTTTTTACTAAGTCTGGGGTATACCTCAAAACCTGAAAACTAAGTTGTACAACCAATGCGTGTTGCCTGTGATGACCTACGGAGAGACGTGGTCCTTCACTGCTGGCCGAATGAGGACGCTCAAAGTCGCTCAGCGAGCTAGGAGAGGGCTCTAGTCTCCTAGACGCAATAGAACCAGAGTGACCGACATAGCCCAACGGATTAGTAAGCTGAAGTGGCAATGGGCCGGCCATATAGCTCGAAGAACCGACAACCGTTGGGGAAAAATGGTTCTCGAGTGGCAGCCTCGTACCGGTAGGCGAAGTGTAGGGTGACCCCCCACTAGATGGAGTGACAACCTGGTAAGACATGCAGGAAGTCGATGGATGCAGGTGGCTCAGGACCGTACTTTGTGGCATACCTTGAGGGAGGCCTATGTTCAGCAGTGGACTTGTGAAGGGCTGTAATGATGATGAAGCAGCATTAAAAGCGCGTAAACTCTGGTATTGCAATTGCCAGTTTGCTTGTCAAACATTGCCATCTTACACTTTATACTCAATTTTTTAAAGTTGAATTTCGCATATTTTAAAATATTTTTTTAATTAAACATAAAAACTATCCTTTATTTCTTCTCAATTTAAACGCTCTACCTGACACTAAGTTCTGACTCAAAGTCGGCGTAAAACTTGAAATTAAAAATGAATACGAGTACGATTATCGTCGGCATTCTTTTACGCTTCACATCTCCTTCCCTCGAAGCCCTTTTACTTCGTTTGTCCTTTTCATTTAAATTTAGCTTAGACGAAACAGGTCATAAGTCGTGGTGACATTTATAACAATACGCTCGAAATGTTTTCGTATGGTAATGATTTATGTGTAAAAGCGTGTGAGTGCGAGAGCTTTTTGGAACTTTTAGTTTAGTGTTATGTTTTACAGCATTTAGCTCTTAAAAACCCTTTGTAAACTACAACGAAAAATCAAAATTTCCTCGATAAATTTTATGAGACCGTATTTATTAGTCCAACCCACGAATAAAATTAAAATGTTCAAAAAAATTGTATTTATAAAACTTGACTTCTTTGATCTTATTTCACTAAATTTTTTGGTTTTAATTCATTTGTAAAATAAACGGTCAATTTTAAGCAATAAACGATGAATGGATTAAAAGGTTATTTAATCACATGTATTACGTGCAACTAGTAACTTTTTGTAAATATCTAGATAGCTGTAAAATCTTTCAGTCCGACCGAATCTACCTATTTACAATACTATTTATTAACCTTTCCTTAACGTAAGAGTAGATTTTTAACCAATATAATATGTATTCCTTACAGCGTTTACATATAATACTGAACTACAGTATTATAACTTTTAGATATGAAGCACTTTCGTATTCTGATTTGTTTTTATTAAAACTATTATAAGCTGTTACATATCAATATCATCATCATCATCATAATTACAGCCCTTCACAAGTCCACTGCTGAACATAGGCCTCCCCCAAGGTATGGCACAAAGCACGGTCCTGAGCCACTTTTATCCATCGATAACTGATACTTATTTATAACAGTTATGTACATCCATACTGTTATCTATTTAAGGGTTAATTTTTCAATCGCCTGACAAAAGTTATCCGTCGTATAAGTTATAACGTGACTGAATATAAAACTGAGATAAATGAACCATTTTATTCATATAACAGTAATTTATAATTTCTCTACGTCGTATTTTATTCTATTAATTTGATTTGATACCTGAGCAATAAAAATCGGCCTTAAGTCAATAAAATTTGTTCTTAAATTAAGATCAAGATCATTTAAAGAATGACGTCTTGAAAACAATAGTTTCGTCGTGACAGAAACTGTTTATTGAAGTGTACACAAATCGCTTTCTATAAGTTACGGTCCTTGACCATACCAGAAACTGGGACTAAGACCCTTAATAAAGAAAACATTATAAATATATTGTTCCATTTTTTCCCAACAAGTCGCCATCCCGACGCGTGAGGATGAATTATTGTTATATGAGTAGCAATAAAACGCACTTTTAACTTTAAAATTTCCTTGTGATTTTATGGTTTTATGGCTTATTTCGTGCCGTTTAGAGCAAGAAATCACCAAATTTTACAATATCGTTTTAGATTACTCCCATTCTTTAATCATGTTATTGGTTCCAGATCACAAATTAATGATACCGGTCTAAAATGTGAAACAGTTTTATTACTCCTTCTTAAATGTCATACGTATTATAATTTGCCCTTAAGTTAAAAATTAATACAATATTAATATCGATTAGGAACTTCTCTCTGAATTCCATATAAATATATTAAAAAAAAACTTTTTAAAAAATTATATTGGTAAAATGTACAATATAATTCAAAAAAGGCAAAATCGTAAAGTACAGTTCATTTTTGATGTTATTTAAGTAAAAGATAAACCCGGGATATGTACCTAAGTACGAATTAATGTAGGTACCTGCTTGTGTAAACAATACGGCAAAAAAATTGAAGTCCAACTATAATAAATAAATAAAAAACAGGACGATATAAATGAAATATACAAACAAAATAGGACATCAACATGAATATTAGTGTAGGTCGCACCCACCTTGAAAAGAATATCCTGTAAAGTATGGTGTCATGTTTAGTGTTGAAACTGCCATTGACCCAAAGGTGTGTTAGCCCGACGATTATGAAACAACAGCTTCAAGCACCAAGCTAGTCCGTACACAAACAAAAGTCCTAAAAGTTCACAATTTCGGTCGTTCACTATCACAAGATGCACGTAGGCATGGTTTCGTAGATGATAATGGTGTATGTCTAATCCGTGCTACTTTGAAGACAGCCCAGTGCCCACTGACGTGTGATGTAAAGATGTATTTCGACTCTCAAGTGTAATCTTTCACAATCAGCGGTGCAACAAAAAGTGGTAAAACTGGCCGCCTCCGCAGTTTTCAACAAAACACCACCTGATCACTTGTCTCTTTCTTTTGCCCGAATGCTATAATTCAGTACTGTCACTTAGGCTTTAAATCTTTAGCCCTACCATCAAATTCTAGATAAAACTGATTCATAAGGACATATTTACAAAATTTTTATTTCACAATATTAGTTAAATACAAGTTTTCTGTTGGATCTAAAGGATCTATGATATTTTGCATCCCTATTGGGCCTTACAAATGGACTGGTGTGCAAAGGAGATAGCACGAAGCCTCGGATCCGGTATCTTCGGGGCGAACAGCGTTTATATTAACAATGTGTGAGTCGCGCCTGAGTCGGTGCTCCGTGACGAAAAACACGAGGCGTGTTGCCACAACGATCTATGCCTACAGTGGACGTTGATTGGTCAAAATCTATTCAGGGCGGAGTTTGTGTGCACACACATAAGCGTTAAAATTGTGTTACTGTGTGAGTTAATTGCATTGTCGTTCTGTGTTCGTATACGATATAATTAGGAATGTTTTATGATTTTCAGCCATATTACTGCAAAATATTTCAAAATTTTAAAAGCGAGTACCAAATCACACTTGAAGTTTATTTTAATATAAAATAAGGGTGACAAATGAGCACACAGTCCACCTGATGGTAAGTGGATACGTAGCCCATAGTCACATCTATACCTACCTCTTTGCGATTAAGAATCCTAATTTTTTCGGGACTGGACGTTTGAACTTCCAAAATTTATACTTCCACGATACACGAGAAAAAATAAGAAAAATGCAGATGCGTTATCACTCCTGAGTACCTACTAAGATGCAATTCCTCGTTTTTAGTAAAAAAAAGTCCCGGTTCCCTACACACATCATAAGAAACTAAGTTAAGCTGCTATTTTACGCTGGTATTCTGTGAGAGAGTGGTCCTTCCACAGTCTAGGCGACCCATTCGAGCTACAACAATAATACCTATAACTGCAGTATCACGTGAAGAATGAAAAATTATGTTTATTTCAACATCTTAGAAAATAAATTTTGTAAGAGGTAAATAAAAGTTTATGAGAATACCATGCATGCAAACTTTTCATAGTACTTAAACTCTACTCTTAAAAATATTGTAAAAGAATTTACTAAGTCGCTAACACACATTGAAACTTTTGTATTGTTCTTACACAAATTAGAGAAAAATAGTGTCCAATAATAAATAGTTGGTAGGCAGTTATTCTATAGAATATCTGTCACGTAAAATTTATGAATTTACTATGTTGACATAAACTGTATAAATATTTATTTATACATTTAATAATAATAACATTTTTAACGACATTTAATAAAGTAACCAATTTTTCAGAGCGTAATTATAACTTTAAGTACAAATTGGTAATTTTAATTAAAGCAAGGAATTACCGTATTAATACTAACGTAATTTTCATTAAAGTCTAGAAAATTGACACAATCTTGACACCATTTTGCAAAGTTCATTAATTAAGACAATATTTTAATCAATTGTGCAATGGAACAGTTGAAAGTTTACTTTAACGTATTTTATTTGTAACCTATGAGGACTACGATGGAATAACCGTTACCAGGAAAAGGATCTCCGGTTCTCGTCAACCATCATTCAAAACACAGGAGCATTATGCTGCTAACTCACGTTGGTATTCTATGCGAACGTGATCCTTCTCAGGCGAGACAACCCATTTATGCTACAATCATAATGCGCCACAGCGTGACTCTACCACGTACCATAAATTGTTACTTATCTGCTTTTACAGCGTGTTACAAATTAAACAAACGAATGGTTGGCGTTGCCAAGGTTCCCGTGATCAGCAAGAAAGTTGTTTGCTGATCACGGGAACCTTGGCAACGTTCTAACTAACGTGGCAAAGAGCCAGTTATTCGCTTTCTTCATCACGATTACAGCCCTTCACAAGTCCACTGCTGAACATATGCCTCCCCCAAGGAATGCCACAAAGTACAGTCCTGAGCCACCTGCATCCATCGACTTCCTCCATGTCTTACCAGGTCGTCATTCCATCTAGTGGGGAGTTATTCGCTTTATTATCATTGATATTGTAAATTTTAATTTTGATTATTGATATTAAATATTCTTTTCTTAATGTTATTTAATTCTAACACTCCCTTTTATCTTCATACACGACGGGTCTAGTTAAAGGCTAAACTCTCTCTCTAATTTCTGACTTCTTTGTTAAAGCAACCACCTTGGAACTCCTTGCCTGAAGGGTGGGGTTTATGTTAATTTAGAGAGAAAAAAACGAAGAAAATCAATGGATGAAACAGCCTTTCGAAGACTATATACGATATATTTGCCGCGTGGTGATGGTGCAAGATATTCCATCACCCCATTTCGTCCCGTGGGTATCGTAAGAGACGTGTTAGTGATATACCAAAATGATCTTACGTCTTCCGAGATATGGCGTTAAGACCATCTAGGTAACGCCAGGCGTAAAATGCCCAGACTGACGACGGTAAGGAGCGTCAAAAGAACGAAACGTGAACGAACGAACGAACCAAACGTTAACGTTAAAATTCAAAAGTTTTGCTTGACAGACTCATGCGAGACTTTAAAGGCAAACCCTCTCTATAATAGGATGTTCAGCTGTTTCCTAAAGAAGATGTAAACATATATATATTTATTTATTATTATACTTCTGTAAGTTTTTTTGGAATGTTTAGTATTAGTGATAAAAGTATATTGTAAGGTAGATAATTGCTAGTTATCGTATTGTAACTTTGACACTTTGACTCATCTGACATTAACACCTCTCACTTTTGTGTCTATGGTATGTTAACGTTCCGTTTCTTCACTTATTGTTAAGTGAATTAAACATTTCTTTCCATAATGCTGGCAGGTAGTTTACTGATGACTTATTTATTTTTGAATTATTTATTTTATAATTATATATATTATAATACATACATATAATAATACATATTTACCTAGTTTTACATATATTTAGTAATCAGATATAATTTAATATGATTTCTTCAAATGACAGTGTTCGGAGTTCCAATTCCTTCGCCTTTGATTCTGCCTCTGATGGATTAAGCAGTATTGACAGCTTTGAAGGTATTGAACCCTTAAATATTATATTAGATTCAACTTTTTCTGAATCTAACAAAAACTTTAACGCTATTCACATAAATGCTCAAAGTATTCCTGCTCATTACCCCGACATGTTGTCAAGTTTTAATAGCAAAAACATACACGCTATCCTTGTTTCGGAGTCGTGGTTAAAACCATGTCTTCCATCAACTTCCTACTCGCTTCCAGGTTTTCATTTGATTCGTAATGACCGTACCGATCGGGGCGTGGTGGTGGTGTTGCTATTTATCTGCGCTCACATATACCTTTTTCAGTAATTCAAGTTTCAAATGGTTCGCAGACTGGAAACGAAGCTGAATTTCTCTTTATCGAAGTTCTTCTTGGTCATACAAAATTACTTCTTGGAGTTTTTTACAGTCCCTCTCTCACTGTCGACTACTTCACCACGTTAGAAAATATTCTTGACAATCTTACACCTAATGATTTCTTAAATTTACGCGAACACTACACATTGAATAAAACTATTATTTACGGATTTTATCGCGTTTAATTACTTTAATTTATTTATATTATTATCCCGACATGCCGTGTAGTGGCGGTTAAGAATATCCACTACCCCATATCTTCCCGTGGGTGTCGTAAAAGGCGACAGAGGGAAACAGGCAGGAGATGGGCAGCAGCATCTTCCTGATAACAGCAACTGTACGACAAAAAAAAAACTGCGGTTGCCAACCCGCTCGCCAAGCGTGGCAACTATGGCAATATACCCCCCATGAACAATTACACAAATAGACGGCCCCCAGTCCCCGGCGGCCCCGCTATTCCTGGCTACGGTGGCGACCATGGTAACGGCGGGGCAGGGGGGTGCTAAGAATCTCCGGTGGAGGTTCGGTTGCCACCTACGACGACTCGACCTGGCAACATTTAACGCACGCACACTGAGGACTGATGAGAAGATCCTGGAGCTGGAAGAAGAGATAGACAAGTTGCGCTGGAGTATTATAGGATTATCCGAGGTCCGAAGAGAGGGGGGAGGACACGGTGATTCTCGAATCCGGCAACTTGTTCTATCACCGGGAGGGCGACCATCTGTCCCAAGGAGGTGTCGGATTTATCGTCCACAAGTCTCTCGTCAACAACGTTGTAAAGATTGGGAGTGTGTCAACGAGGGTCGCGTACCTGATACTCAGAATCACCAAACGGTATTCGCTGAAGGTCATACAGGTTTACGCACCAACCTCGGCACATTCCGATGAGGAGGTGGAGGAAATGTATGAGGATATTTCCAAAGCCATGCATTCCTCCAAAACCCACTACACGGTGTTGATGGGAGACTTCAACGCAAAACTAGGCACAAGAGAAAGCGGTGAGCTGAAGTTAGGGAAATTTGGAGTAGGGCAACGGAACCGAAGGGGCCAGCAGCTGGCCGACTTTATGGAGAAAGAGGGACTCTTTATGATGAACTCTTTCTTCCAGAAGCGGCCCCACAGGAAGTGGACCTGGTCGAGCCCCGACGGTTCGACAAAAAACGAGATTGACTTCATTATGACGACCAGACGCCAACTGTTCAGTGATGTCTCAGTGATCGCAAGGGTGAAAACTGGCAGCGATCACCGAATGGTTAGAGGCACACTGAACCTAA